TCGTAAAGAATAAAGAACTGAAAAACAGATTTTTATAGAATTAGAAACTAGTGTCAATGTTAAAACGAACTTAATTATATACTAGATGTATGCCGTGTAGCAGAAGGACAACAAATTGAACATTTGTCACTGAAAAAATAGTACGTTTTTCTGATATAATTTATGTTTAATTTCTTGTACTGTGAGTAATTTTTTTAAAAATATAAGTATTTAATTGTTTATTGCGCTGCTTATTTCTAATCACACTTTTGAAAAACGCAATTGTACATTCTTCTGCGCTAAATATCTTGATTACGATGCATTTTTAACTACCGATTGGATAAAACAAATCTTATACTTTATTTCTTTTTAACGTTTTCATAACGTGCAGAAATTGTTTCTCGAATTAAGCTGAGATTAAATTATCGAGAATATAATGTAATTTTAAGGAAGTTTGCAATTATGCTGAAAAAGTGTTGCTTATTTGTAATTAAAACAAAACAGTATCTATGGACTGTAAACACAACTGGAATTATAAACAGATCTCAGAGAATTAAAATTATTGCACTTAACTTAAAAACCTATACGAATTGCTACACGGTAAATTGCTTTAAAACACCGACGTCTACACGGAGCGAAACATTCTGTTAAAATAACTGTTATGGCGATTCTTATTATAACCATATTTCTGGTTAATAAAACCAAAAATATACAATATATAAGTCATTAATTTGCTAATATTTCCATTCATAGGTAACGCTTTACCGGAAATTCTTGTTTTCAAGATAATAGTTTTTTGTAACCAAACATTTAGTAAAAAATACAGAACTTATAAGTAAATTTAAATTGATAAAAGATTAATTGATAATAAAAGTTATTAAATTTTATGTCATACCCTAAAGTAACATGATAAAATTATATCATATTTTATCCCATTTACCAAATTTTATTCCATGTTATAAAATCATATTTTATTGAAATTTTTTCTAAAAATGGTACAAAAGTACCTTCGGTAAAAATTACTGAGCTTTATGATGTTAGTATAAGAGCTAGAAATACCGTAAATTTTATATTCTGGTAAGTTTGTTTATTTTTTTTCTCAATGTAATCACATCAGTGGTTTACTATTACATATTCTTGCACAAAAGTGTCTGACAGCAATTCTTGGATGAATTACAGCACAGATTCTGAGCAGTAATCCAGCTTGGCATTTCGCCTTTTTCTTTTAAGAAAATACAAATGGTGGGAATCAATTCATTGTATATGTTGCAAGGCATGTCAGGAAATGAAAGATTCTTGCCAAGAAAGTTTTAAAAAGGAGAGTTAGGCATTAGTTGAGATAACGGCTGTTAATTTTGCTAAAAATAGTTTCGTTAATTTGTAAGTATGTTGCACAATGACACGAGTTCTAAAAGAAAATTTAATCAAAGTTAAAAAATGCAATGATACAGCAGCTGAAAAAAAAGCAATACTAAGATGAAATAAAATTAGATTTAGATTTGAAGGACAAAAGGTAAAATATATTTGAAATATTTTCCCCTACACATTAAAAAATGTAAAAAAATAGTGATGAAAATTTCGTTATTATTTTTAATCTCTGAAGAGAAAAAAAACACGGAAAAAATTCTGATAAAATTACTGCACTCTATGGTAATGATTTTCTGGTAAAAAAAAATTAATTCCGGTTTATAAACTTAAATATACTCATTTGGTAATTTTGCTGTTTATATGACTATGGTTTACTAGAAATTCTGTTTTTGAGAATTGCAATTTTTATTACTATACATTTATACAAATAAAAAATACAAAACTGAAGAGAAAATTTAACCAAATAAATGGTTTTAATGCCATATTTTCAAATGAAGTGATAAAATTACCATATTTTATTACCTAACATAAAACCATATTTTACTGTTAATTTTATCAAAATCATTTCTAAAGCGATTCGGCAAAAATTATAGAGCTTTCCCATAGAAAAATTATAGTGTTCCCATAGAGCCAAAAGCAGGATACTTTTTTCCATATTCAGGTACTTTTGACTATACTTTCTTCGTGATTTCTATATAACAGTCTTCGTGGTCTCATGGTTATGGTCATGGTCTCGTGGTTAGTTCTCGTGAGTCTTCGTGATTTCTATATAACATTTTTAACGAAAAATGATATAACTTGAGATAGTTCCTCATATTTAGTTTTATGACTTTTAAAAGTGAAAGAGCAACTATATTAAAAATCTACGTGCTTTCAGTTTTATAAGCACGTAGCCATCTGTTTAAAGCTACCAGTTTTATACCAAACTTTTTAACGACAATTTATTTCATCTTACAAACATTTCTCCGTACTATCAATTGGGGCAAAATGATTTTTATTTCTGGGTTTAATATACACTAGAAACTATTTATCCTTTTTCTAGCTTAAATCTTTTCATCAATTCAAATTCTTTATTGCAAGAATTAGAATGAATAATCATTAAATCTGAAAAATATTTCAGTATTATGTAAACACATTTATCAGTATTATGCTTTTTATTGTCAAAATTTCATACCTTAAATGAAAACGCTGTAACTTTTCAATAACAAGCATTCAAAAACCAAGAGTTCAAAAGTATATCAGTGGCACAAAAAAGTTTTTACGAATGATAACTAACAAAACATTTCAAACAATTTTTCATAGTTAAGAAACTGAGATTACAAATACGCAATTCAAAGAAAGTAATATTAATACAAAAAAATTTGCCTTTCTTAATTAAAAAACCCATTTTGGAATTTTAAAATGCAATATCTTAAAATGAGGAATTTTCAATCATTAAATGTGACCAAATTTTTAACCGATGAAACAAAATCAAATATTGACTGTTGCAGAAGTTTATGTTGAACTTGGGGGATCTAGTACACTTACCGCTCACCAACAACGATGATTGCTTCGCAATAATTATTGTTTCTTGGCAGTCTTTCTATTTAAGTTAAAATTATTCACTCAGATAATAACTGCGCTAATTATGTTTGCTTACGCTTGTTATGTTATTATTATCTTTTAGTATTATAAATATTTAGATCTATTGGTGAGCAGAAGTCATTTTTCTAAGTAATTATTTTTTAAAATAACGTATATAGTGTTATAACATTATATTGTTCAAGCAAATTCGATGAGTTCACAACCGTAATTTAATATTTTTGCTTACTAAACAGGCGGATATATTAAATACTATTTTTGCATTACTGTGCATGAAGCTGATCGTTAAGTTCTAAATCATTTTGATAAAATCTCTCTAACTTTTTAACAGTATGTTAATGTTATTTGTACGAAAATGAAAATTGTAAAATGGTCGATAATATTAGACAACCTTTCTAACTAACTTCATCTTAAAATGTAGCGCATAATTACATTATTATAATAATAGTAAAGAAAAAAAAACAATTATCTTAGTTTTAAACTCTCGAATTAAAAGCATAATAATAGCAGTATAGGAAAATAATTTTAAATTAGGGATGCAAAAATATTTATAGGAAAACAATACCTTCATGACTTTCATTAACTTTATACTGATGACAACCAAAACAATATAGAAATGAATAAGGAATAATGGATCCTACCACGTGATTTTCCGCTCAATAAAAATGCGCGGACAACAATGGAAAACTGCGAAACCATCATTAAATTTACATATGGTAATATATAAAACTAGTGGACTGCGCCCCCTGCTCGCTAACGCTCGCCAACCCCCAAAAATTGCTCCGCAATCTTATATGGTTTGCTTCTTCAAACCAAGGTCGCTTCGCTCGTTCCTAACTTAGGTACATTTCAAATGCACAAAATTCTAAGAATTCTAGACAATCATTCAAATCCATATAACAACTTTTTTTTTAAAAAAAAAATTGCATCCTTTTAGTAAATACTAAGTCATTAAGATAAATTTGAATTCAAATAAATGACATGTAATTCTTTAAACCTATTAGAAATGTGCTATAGTATAAAATCTTAAGATAAAATTTCTAAAACTGATATCTCTTTAAAAAGGTTAAAATTTTGGCTATAATTAAGTGTATTAAAAATTGAAATAAGTGAATTGCAATGGAAAAACCTGCATAAACAAATAAATTCTAGTAAAACAAATAAATTCGTGATATAAATCAAAAATCGTCAAATNTCGTATGCATGAATGTTTTGAACAGATATGGCTGGAATGATGCCGACTGGGGACGTATAGACTTTAGCAACGAATCCCGCTTCCAACTGCGTACTGGCGATCATCGAAGACGTGTTTGGAGACTCACAGGGCAGAGGGGGATCCTGCCCTCATTATTGCACGCCACACTGGCCCTCAACAAGGCATTATGGTCTGGGGTGCCATTTCCTTTGACAGCCAGACCCCTTTTGTCGGCATTAGAGATACACTTACTGCATAGCGGTACGTCGACGACATCCTAAGACCTGTTTTGCTGCCGTTCCTTCTGCAGCGCCCTGGGCTGGTTTTTCAGCAGGACAATGCCAGACCACATACGGCACGTGTTGCTATGAACTGTCTGCAAGCTTCTCAAACTCTTCCTTGGCCAGCCAGATCACCAGATCTCTCTCCCATCAAGCATACCTGGGATATGATGGGAAGGCGATTGCATCTGGCACGGAATGTTGATTACCTCGTTCCACAATTGGATCGAATTTGACAGAAAATACCGCAAAAGACCATCCGGGAGCTTTATCGGTCTATGCCACGCCGTGTGGCAGCTTGTATCCAGGCTAGAGGCGGGTCAACACCTTATTGAACTTGTTACTGTAACTCTGCAATGAATTATTCAATTGTTCTGAAATTTTAATCATTTACTATTCTGCACATTGTCTTCCTATCCACCGATTTTCGTTTTAATCGGACTACTCCTTCTTGGTGCGTCGATTTTTTTGTTATAGAGTGTATTTAACAATTTGTAAATAACAATTAATAATTGGGTATTTTTTTTAAAAAAAACTAAAACATTCGTAATGCTTTTTGAATTTGCAATTGTTATAATATCTGTGTTAATTTCTAGAGTATTCCTCATGCCTGCAGTATTCCCGGAGGGCTCAGCATTGGGTCTAAGATCTACATACACGGGTTATTATCCAAGGACGCGAGCAGGTAATTTTCCTTCCTACTATTTTGACTGACTTCAATTTACTGTAAAACTGCTACTAACCGTTAGATTGTAAAGTTGCTGATACTTTTGAAATATATATTAATATACTTGCATTTTATAACAAATTTTATTAATGAAATCATTTTATATTCTAAGAATTATTCCAATATTTGTTAATGGGCTTTGTGACTTTTCAACCAAGTGTTCAATTTAAATTTTCTTAAAGAAATATATATATGATTTATGTATACCTTTAAAAAAATTTAAAAATTTACATAAGTGTAAAATTAGAGAGCCTACACTGCAAAAAGTTCCGGATATAAGTACCGGTACTTGGAGTACACCTTACCGTAAAATACAGTTTTACCATAAGCTTTTACGGAACACAAAATCTGATATACCGTAATTTGCATAAATACAATAATATTTACTGTAAAATTACTGAATACTGTAATTAAATGAATATTATTATGGGAATTACGGTATGAAAGTGTACAGTAAAAATGGGTTTTTTGGTTGCTGCAGCCAGGATGCCAGTACTTCAGTACTTTTTACTCTAGTTTGATCTGGAATTTTTCACAGTGTACATTCAAACGTGCTGAGGTATAATATCTGTGATACTTAATAATAGTCAGTGATACTATAGATACTTAAAGGAAGGTACATTTTGTATTAAAATCCAGCGTAAAATATTACTTAAGTCAAAGTCTGATATTCTGTATCTTTTACAGTAACGTTTACTTTAAAATCACTGAATCAATGTAATTAAGTAATTATTACTGTAAAAAGTATGTAATAAAATTTTATGACAAATATGGATTTCATAGTAAGTAAAATGAATTTCACATATGATGCACCAAAAGTGCAAAGAATGATTGCACTAAAGATGCACCAGAAGTTTTACAGTGCGTATTTAAACGTGATAAGATATAAAGGTTAGTTCACAGTCACTGTTAACGTATCAGCGTATCGCATTCTCTGGGTCTGTGCAGTTCTCAAATTTAGCAGAGGACGTAAGATACCCTGATCTCGGCACTCAAGTTGAACTAAGTTGTTTTAAATTTGAGCTCAAACCGATAAAATTGATAAAGCAAATAAAGTTTCCGATTAAACGATGAATTTTTTTTCATACTTCTCGTACACAATTTTGTGGACATCTTGCAGGCTTTGATTACGGTATGACGCATTGATGAAATTATGACCCGCAAGAAAATTTTCGTGTATACCGAATATCTGAATCATCAAAGATGTATTTATTCTTTTAGATAGATAAACAACATTGCTTGGCATAAAGAATTTTTTTTTACAAAATAGAGTAGGCGCAATTGCGAGGTTTTGATAAAAACACGACATAATCACTGACATTTTTCAATGTTTTAGTAACTTACATATTAAGTTTATTGTTTATTAACCTCACTATAAAATATCAAGATATTGATTTTTAAAATTCTGCACATATTTTTAGATACCATTATTTATTGTTCAAACAAAATGATAGATATAATTAACGTACAAGTGTATGATGAAAAAATAGCACTTGATAAATATATACATTGAAACTATAGTTCAAAAACAGTAACCATAAGCATACTTCACTCAGTATATTTAATTTTTAAACATTGCGAGTAATGCTTCAATAGTTTTAAAATTATTGATTTTTCTTTACAAAAATTAATATTTTCTTTTTTTATAGTTTTAGTAATGTAAAAATGTACCATTTACAGAACCCCAAACTACAATTGAAGAATGTTCCGTAATATAAATTTACAGATGTAAAAGTATGTTGCGAAAGTCAGTATACCAGAGTAAAAATTTCAAAGTAAATAAGCCGATACTTTGTGTCAAAATCAAGACTAAAAGATGACATTCTTATTTAACGTGATCAGTATTTTTATCAAAACTTTTATTTTCTCACACGATAATGAAGTTCAACTTCACGCTTAGCTTAGATTACAACAATGTAAATAACAGTTAAAGGTGAACCGAAAAGAACAAAAATTCTTTTTCAGTCATGGAATCCGTTTTTATCCTTGGCAGTCAACGGGTATTCAACTCCAAAAGAGCTCCATATCTTTATGAAAGAACAAAGAAAAATAATCCCAAACATTGTTTTGAAAAGGCTTCTAAAAGGAGAGAGTGTTTTCGAACGAATTCGAAAGTGGAACTCTCCCACATTCCAAAATCTTTTGCAGCCATAACAGGAAGCGCGTTTTAGATTAAAATAAAACACCGAGTGATGTGAGCGGGTGGCTTTTTGCTCTGAGTAAGAGGGAGAAAAAAATTATCCTTTAGTTCCGTGAAAAAGTGAGATCGACTTCAAATCCTGAGACTCGTCCAAAAGAATAAAAAGTGGGCACCGGATCAAAATGACTCATCCCCCGCCGCAAGCCACTGAAGGAGTCATATGCAAGAGTTCGTGTTCACTTCCCATCTATATCCCGAAATAGAAACGGAGTTTGATTACTTTCAGGTTGAGGGTGGGTCCTTTTATAGCATTAAGTGGTAGCATTAAATTATTGAAAGGTTTTAACTATGTTTTGTTCCCTTAAATTTATTTGTGAAGTAGTTGAAATTTCGTTACATTGAGAACTAAGCAACTAGACTTTTCCTGAAAAAATAAGTGTATGTGTTCATGATTTGTAACTGGAGCAGTTATATACACTACCGTGCACAGTCGAAGCAAAAGTGGAATTTAAAATCTATTATACATTAATTTGTTAATTTTACATTTTCATTTCTTAAAATATTGTTACCTTTGTTACAAAAGTACATTGTTACAAAAGTACAGTTCGATAATACATTGCACCTGGTTTGAAACGAAACATTGTTAGCCGCTGTTGACCTCTGGGGTGCTGCAATATTTCTTGGAGATTGAGTTCTTTCGGGGGAAATAGAGCCGGACAGTGAACTAAAATGTGCCATCATTGTTTAAGGCTCATTCCTCTCAGGAGAATTGGCCATAGGTTTGCCATAAAAAAAAACTACCATAGGATATTCTTATGTGATTTTGCCAATGGTGAAATTTTGCCATACACTTTTGCCATAAATGTAACAAATTTGCCATAAGCGTAAATGGGAAATAATAATTACCATACGTGGTAAGAATATATGGTAAGGGCAGCCATAGGCAAAACCGCATAGGACTATCCTATGATAATTTTTACGTATACCAAATTATTGCCATAAAATTATGTTTCTTAAATTATTTATTATGGTCGATTTATTAATTATGGTTTATTAATTATTAACTTTATACATAAACAACAATAAACAAGAGTCATTGAATTACAGGGATTTCACAATGATTATGCTATAAGAGTATCAGGACAAAAAAACAGAGTTCATTATCGGCTCGGTTAACAGAAACCTCGGTTAATCGAAGCTCGCTTAATCGTAGTTCTACAGTACTACTATTTTTATTATGAAATTAAATTTTTGCAATAAAGCGAAATATTTTATGAAGAATAAAACTATAATTTTAAAGCAAATTTAATAAGAAAAATTAAATATTCATAACCATTAAGATGACGCCATACCTCGGGCGAAACTTTTCATCGTAAATTCTCTTTCCCCTCCATAAGTAATTAAGAAAGAGAGTTCACGGAAATCTAGTGTAAGCTATGAAATTTTAAATATTGAAAAGAAATTTTAAATATAAATTATGAGGGGATAAATTATGATTATGCAATGGAAAGGCTCTCTTCCAATAATTTGTTTGCTTTTTGATATTTTGAAATTTTTTTTCAGCATTTGAAATTTCATGACTTTCCCTAGAATTGTCTGAACTCACTTTTTCCATTCTATAAATTTTAAATTAGTTATGGAGGTTGAACGGAATTGGTGATGAAAAGTTTCTCCCTCTGTATGGCGTCCTCTTAAGAATAACTGTGAATACTTTGGAAATTGTAAATTTTTTACCAGAGAAGAATTTAAATTTACATAAAGATTAGTTCAAACTATGGATCTAGATTTTTGTAAATATACATCTTTCCAACTCCTATTTTTAATTAAATAAGTTTTACTTCGATTATTTTTACTTTTTTTAAGAAATTTTGTAGTATTTATCCGTTTTTCTTCAGTGGCAATGTAGTAATTGCAAAGTTACAGTATAAGAATTGTCGATCCGAGCATCCAAACATCTCTGAATGCTACTGACTACAAGTTTTCAAATTCAATACACCCTTTTCTAGTTTAATTAAAAGATATACTCTTACGCGAATATTATCTATTATTCAAGTAAAAAATACATTTCCTTTCATAATTTAGTAAACACAATAGTATCCTTTCCTAAATTTTCCATCAGCCTTTGTAAATAATTATAGTTATTCGTAACTCAGAATTTTTGATACAAAGTTATTCCAATTACATTGCATACATAATGTTTTTTTTTTTCTTAATATGATGCAGTGATCAGAACTTGCTCTAAAGTTTTCTTGTTTTCACAACATGCTAAAAATATTTATACGGTTTATGTTTGTCTACTGAAAAGAATACGGGCAATTTTGCAAGCAAGAGCTACGTGAATATATCATTGACGAACTGTATTTCGTGTCCAAATATTAATTGTGTAATAGAAATAAAACATTGGAAATGGTTAAAGTTAGAAATCATTTAAAATAAGTTGCAATGAAGGCATGTGGTGATCGTAAACACTGTATATTAAAAATTTTTATAGAAGTAAAATTTTAGGATAATTATTTTGTTTTCGTTGCATTCGATTATTGGTTACGAAACGCCTTTCAGATTTTTTTGTAGTTTGCAAGAAAAACTCATTGAAAGTTTGTTGCTTATAGTTTGTACTTTAAAACTGCCAAAATTAAAGGAAACTTCTCTATAGTTTTCAGGAAAAGTTCTCATTGAAAGTTTGTTGCTTAATTTGAGCTGAAATAAAAAAGAGCTCTTTGTAGTTTACATAGAAAGTTCTTATTGAAAGTTTATTGCTTAGAACCACCAAAATAAAAAAGAGCTCTTTGTAGTTTACATAGAAAGTTCTTATTGAAAGTTTATTGCTTAGAACCGCCAAAATAAATAAAAAAAATAGTGCGTGGAGTCCTTCCGCGCGGATGAAGTTAAACTTCGCAACCGGCGACGTTAATTGTAGAAAAATCAGTAGTCGTAGAAGGATCACTAGTTCTATTCAACGATTCTTTTTCCTGCTCCGCTCGCTTCCGCGCTCTGTTATCACGGTAATATTGTGCATTTTTCCCAAGTGGACCTCTTGAACCAGTGGAAGTGCTTGCGGTTGCCTCATCGTCTTGCCATGGAAAATGTATTTGTATTAATAATGTATGTGAATGCGTCATAATGTAATTTCAGAAGAGAAAACCTAACAATCAATTGATATTCACAAGAGACGTACCTTGACATAACCTTAAATCCGTCGCATTGTCCGTGGGATTGTTTTCACTCATTTTTTACAATTGTTATCCACTAAATTTGAAAATAAAAAATACTACCCTATTAAATTATATGTGTATCAAAACAAACTAAAGAAATATTTTAAGAAAAACGATACTTTTATTATTTTTATGCTAGTGAGATCCAAAACAATGTGGAAATGAATGAGGGAGAACTGGATCCTGCCACGTGATTTCCCGGCCAATAAAAATGTAGCGTTAAACGTTTAACGCAACCTTGTTGGAAGTCGCATGAGAAGTATAACTTCAAAAAAAGAGTTTTCCTGAGTTTACATGGAAAGTTCTGATTGAAAGTTAGTTACTTAGTTTAAATACTTAGGACCATCAAAATCTATATACCGCCCCCGAGTGTGATCGATTTGTGTTAATAATTTAATCCATTTCCCGATTCGAGGATCGTTAGTGCGAAATTGAATTTAAGGAATAATTTGATATTACTCCTTTTATGGATTTACCTCATTTTTTTCTGTAAAAGGGATTTCTGATTTAAAAAATTTGTATTTTGAAGTCTTGATGATTTTAAATTTCACTAATTTAATATATTTTCTTATCTCTTTTCTTTTCTTTCCACCAACCGTAATCGTGCCAAGCCAAGCAGAGTTCAATCGTTTGAGTCCCTGTGCAGTGAATCACCACAGCATTGAAAAAGATTTTTCATGCGTTTTTTTCACAAGAGATGTTTGATTTAGCTAGACCCAATATTCATCGATTTTCAAGATAATATCATTCTTAGTAACTAATACTGTTCGATATTTATCGTTATCGATAATTGTCACAATATTATAAGTCGCGATACATCGTATCGCGCGGAGTTATCGCGATACATCGTAAGAATTTATTTTTAATATCATGGCGATAATTAAAAACTGTCTATATTTCTCGTTATATCTCTTGACATATGGTATATCTCACTATATATTACACTGACATCTTTGAAATTTTGTTATGTGGATCATCTTTTCATCTGTAACTTCACGTTGTTGCTGTATATAATTTTCATCAGTATGGTTAGAATACTATATTCACACTTTCATACTTTTCATCTGTTTTAGATCGCACTTACCCTTGTAAACTGTTAATATGTGATTGTTTGTCTTTTTTGTTTCCCGGTTTGTCTTTACTGTTAAAATCTAATTGTTTGTCTTTATTGATACCCGGATGCTCCCTTTAGGGGCAGGGCGGGGTTTAGCAATAAAATATCTCACTATATATTTCATTTTAAAGCTTTGAGTTCTAGCTCTTTCAGATGTAATGCGATCTGAAGACTTGGTTTTGTTTTTTATAATTGTCTTTAATGTATCATGCTTGTTGTGAAAGTTTTGTAGATTATAAAGACTTTGAATACGTGTTACAGATTCGCCATTAATCTCCAGAGGGGTGCTGACCCGGACATCGCCGACTTACACTTACACCTACTGGCCAAGCTGGGACGATCTCCCGTGGTGGTATGGAACACACGACTCCGGGAATTATGGGGTACCGAGGAGCAGCTTAGCGGATCGTTTCCGTTCCCCTTCGCCCCTAAGACATTCCTACTCGCCATCACTGCCTACATGGACTCCTTCGAAGTAAGATGTCTTCAATTACCATGAGATTTTATACACACTTAAGTAATTCAATTATCAATTAAAATTTTATTGAAAAATATTGAAGAAGCTAGCCAGAAACCTTTTCCCAAATATATATAAATATTTTTTTAAAAATTCTCCAGGATAGTTTTACCAACATGAAATTTTGATTTAATTACTATTGCATTAAGAAATTAATTGGTTGTATCATAATGCTAAAGCCTTACTTGAAAACATGTGTAAGTATAAAGCTGGAATGGGTAACCGTATTATACTTATTATACAATCTTAACATTTTTCCATTGAACTTGAACCTTCTTTTTATTGAAGAATCTAGTCAATATTGCGCGTTATACAAGTTTCAAATACTAAACAACATTGATTCAAACGTCAAAAAATTAATAACAGATTGATAAGCGAATTTTTAAATCGGCATAAAAATACTTTTCTATAAAAGTGAGACTTGTATTGAAGAAACAACATATCTGCTTCATTCACGATAGATTTCAAAAAAAGTGGCTTGACAATAGTTTCTTTCTATTTCTAATATTGTGAACGCTATAATGAAATTTAAAAAAAATGCAAAAAGTAGCTTATGGTACAAAAATACAAAATATATAAAAATCTCAATTTTTAATTTTTTGTTTGCTTCTGTAGATTTTTCTATTGCACGGCAGAGGGCAATATAGGCTGCTTCATAGGATCAAAAGAAACAGCAATTAGTAAATTTTAAGAGATCTACGGATTTTCTCTTCTTGAACATTTAATGCAATAAACTCCAAGGCTCTTAATTTTGGGTGAATAATTTAATACCGTAGATTTGATTTTTCAATTTTCTTATTCTAAAGTGTAGGAACCAATTTGTGTGATGTAAAAAAACCTTTTTTTAATGTGAATTTCGCAAAATAAACACATTTCTAAAAAGAGGAAAAACCAGCAGCGCATAGTATTTAATTTAAAACGCTAATAACACTAATAGTCGCTTTGGTATGATTTTATTCAAAACAATCTGACAATCTTATAATTATGCTTGGTGTGTGTGTTCTAAATTGGACTACAACCTGTTATTTCACGTGTTCACAAGATTTCACGAGAATCAGTCCGGAGGAGCCGGTGTTTGATCCTCCAAGACAAACCGAGTGCATGCAATATACATTCTTGTAAAATCTGTGGAATGAAAATTCCTGAGGTTGTCCGCTGAGCAGCAATACTTACTTTCACCCTTGCGGTGCTCTCATGTCAAACGCTATAAAGGCCAATGACTGGCGACGTTGGCTGCTCCAAATCTTATTAGAAACAACAACACAAGATTTCGCGGAGTAGAGTAATTTTCAGCTACATGTTTATTTGTGAAAATTAAATAAAGATGATTAATTGCACATAGTATAACAGCCCCACCCACATACCTCTGTCGGTTGAATTCGCAAGCGAAAAGGCTGTTTAGGCACTTTTAATGTAAACAAATAGTGAAGGTAATTATTATGGAGATGTAGTTGGAATTAATGATTCCATGTGTTTTTTTCAGATCGAGATTATCGGATCTTCTGCCAACTTCTCGATCAAAGTACGAGATGGATTGCCGATATCTTCCATCACCCACCTGGCGATCGAGGCTGAGCTCTCCGTTCGGGCGATACATATACCAGTGGAGAACATGGTAATTCTTCAACTATTTTATAAATATAAGATACAGACAATATACTGGCTAATATACAGCAATTATTTAAAGAAACTTGTCCGAATTTCCCTTTATCGTACTGACCCTTACGAAAAAACAAACTGAATTTCTTTTGAGGTGTAAAAAAAATACACCTGAGTGTGAGAAAATGATGTTATGTTTTGCACCGAAATTAAATCTCAATTTCAACCTGATTTACACCTCATAAAATCAACCTCATATATAGCTCAGCAATACTTGTAGTTTAAATCTGGTCAAATTATTCTTACTTGCAAATATACTAACTTACTTGGAGAGCTGAAAAAAATAACTTGTACTCCTCGAAAGCAACCTTTCTGAACCGATTTTTCAAAAATGGATTTCTATGAACTTCAATACAACCTCAAGAGTGAATACACCTTGAATTTAAACCTTGAGAGGTTGTTTTTGAGTTCAACTTCAAATTAATCGTAATACCTCAAATAAAACCTTTCACTTTTGTAAGTGTTATCCCATTGTCGTTTCATTATTCCATTTGAAATAACATTTATACTTCATCTATTTAAACCCTTACTTCTGTACTGCTGTTTTCAATTTATGAAAAATTTTAATGACACTTGATAACGGATTTGAACTATTTGAGAAGCCGCGAATCAAAGCTTTGTGCAGCAACTTGATAAATCAATTATCAATACTTATGAATCAAAAATCAGAAATTTGTTGAAAAATAATTTGTTTTCAAGTCTCATTTGTTTAGTAATAAGTCCTGGAACAGTCTGACCACAACAGTTCTATTGACCCTTTGCACTCGAGAGGTGACTGTCAGTCACTACTGTCACCTGTAAAATACCCACCATTCTAATTGAGATTTTTTTTTCATCTTAATGTTTAGTCGCCACTTCATTCAGTAATCTCTGGGTATTATAAGTCAAGTTTATAAAAAAAATCCTTCAAAATGTTAGTGGTTGCGTCCATTTTTTAACTCTTGAAAGGACTTCGAGTGCTAAGGGTTAAGAACCACATGGGATTTATTCATGAGCAGAATTGTGCAAACAATGATATCAAATGGATTATGGAATCAAAAAAGTCTGCACAGTTGCTGCTAACTGAAGCAAAAAAAATTCTGCCATTAGTGCCAAAATGGGGTAAATATTGAACTAAATGACTCATGAAGCTACATAACTTTTCAAAGCTTAGTATGTAGTAAGCTTAGTAACTTTCACTTTAGCTGATAGACCTAAACAGCGATCGGATATAGTGCACTACAAGTAGTAAAACTACTATAGCAGCTACTTTTTTCGTAGTCAGTAGCGTAGTGTGTAGTGAGATACAAAAAAAGTAGTTTGTAGCGATTCCTGTCAACTACTTTTAACGCAGTTTAGAAAGGAAACACTGTTCTAACGCAGCTAATTCTTCGAATTCAATGGGTACTAATCTTCGCGAGCCCGTCAATAGATGCAATGAATGTGTCTGCAGCTGAGCATTAACAAAAATTACGTATTTAAAATCACGTATAACTAATATTTAAACTAACCATTGTAAAAAGTAGATAATTAATCACTTGGGTCATACTTTCACATGCGAATGTGCACTCGTGAAACATTGGTGTTATTTCAAAGGAAGGGTACGTACATTAATGTACGTATCTTTACTTACTTACTTACTTACCCTTACTTACGATGTACTTAATGCCTTAGAGGAAATAAAAGAGGATTAAACGATTAGAAAAGTTCAAGTATTTGATAATTTGGCATTTCTTAAATTAAATATTCGTTTTCGAAAATGGCATAAAAATTTGAAGGTAAAATGAACAAATTCGAGAAAAAATTGTTTTGGAACTGACACATGTAAAAGTGAATAAATATTTCTTAATTATTTCCTTATATTTAATGTATATAAGCCAATTTCGTATTCAAAACCATTTTGAGCATATGTGTAAATTAATTTTTCCAGCAAAATTGGTCTCCTTAAAGTAGTGAAGTAGTTACTACAATTCCAAAGTCGTTCGTAGTCACTACATTTAAAAGAAGTAGTGAAGTAGTTAACTACATTTGTAACAAAGTAGTTGTAGTTGTAGTAAACTACAAAAATATGTAATAAATATTTTTCCAACCACTAGGCTTAAATGGGTAGTCCACTTTATTGACAGACTAGATGAAGATTCTACATTCATCAAAGTACTAAATCGAACTAAGTACTAAAACTACCTTCCCTCCTCTAAACTATTGTTTTGAGCTTTGTAATGTCTTTTGTTTTGTTATTTATTGATAGTATCGGGATATAAAATAACGTATCAATATTGTCGAAAAATATTTTGCTAAAAATTTTACATTACATGAATTTAATTTTTATGTTTGTTTTATTTCAGCCGAGGAACTTACGTTTAAGTTTGGGGAGTGGGGCGAAGGTGGGCGATATTTTTTACATCCGAGGGCAGCCCACTGAGGAGGCGAAGAGGTAAGAATATTTTATTCAGTAGTATTGATTATGAATTTTGTATACATTCAGATTAATGAAATGCATATACTCCTCGCTAGTTACAAAATTGTACTTTCGTTGTTCTTCGATTTCGCATACTTTTAAAATTTTTATAACTATTGGTTTCATTGTATACAATGAAACCAAAACATAAATAAAACTTTATTTAATTCTTGATTGTTGTTTAAATATATTTTTTCTAAAAAAAATAATAAGTTTGTATTTGCTTATCTTTAATTCTTTGAGTAACGACAGAACTTATTAGTTTGGAGAATTTATTACATACGTTTCAAGCCAATAGCATGTTTTGATACTTTTCTAAGCTTTTTTTACAAAAACAATAAAAAGTAAAACATTCTTTATAGAAATTTTAAGTTATGGACACACAATCTATAGGTAACCGAGTAAATGTAAGCACAGATGGTGATAGGGGTTGAAATTCGTCGTAAGGCTTCTAGGTTACTATTTCCTGATTTTTACGCCAAATTTGAGAAAACACACCATCCAATATTATTGTTCTTGTAATGTTCTCAATCTAACTTTCAACAAAACGAACACCAAATGAATTCGGTAGATTCCGCAAGCTTGATATGCTGCCCAAAAAATAACAAACGGTGCTATTTTACTCAAATATAGCCAAATAAGTGATAACATTCAAAACATGACTAACCTTACACTTTATTTACTCTGTGGTATGTTCCCGCATACCCATATTTGGGGGGGGGACCTAATTAACCTTACTCTGTGATATTAACTATGTTAAATTAGTCTTAGGCTCAAGACCTGTTAGAATTTATAAATTACAGAAAACTCTTATGAATGATAAAATTTTACGCGTAAATTTAAACACAAATTACAATAATAAAACGTCCTAGAATATTAAGCCTGTTCACACATCTAGTAAGCATAACATAAGCGGAGGGATACACCGGAAGTTTTCTAAATTTCTTCCGGTTTTAGAAAGCTTGTTATTGCTTACATTCAGTCAACCATTCATAATGAGGGGTATTATTACTTCTCGGGGACTGTTTCATTAGTTTGCTAATGCTCTGTACTGAGCTAGCAATGTTAATTTTAAAAGAAAAATTTACAATAATTTAATAGCGTTATTAAAGCATATGATTACTGTTTATTACTTTTTATAAGAATGGCTTCAAAGTTTTTGCTTCGTCTTTAGATACTAACGCTATTTAGATATTAACGTCTAGTTTACTATTCATGTTAAAAATGCCATACATCATACCGCGTGGAACCGCATAGTGGAGAGAAGATGTTGCTCGCCAGAGTTGGTGGTATCTCGTCTTCTGGCATCGATCATGGACAGATATCAAACTTACTTCAGATGTACCTTAGCGATGATTACGCGGTTTTAATTCTCAGAACAGGAACATCGAAGTTATTTCTTATGGAAGATATTTCTGAGTTGCCATAGCTAAAAGACTTCTCTGGACACTAAATACATTACAAATCCTTTTATTTAATTGTCATATTTATAAATAGAATACATCTACTGTTAATGAATTGTAGAAAAAAACATTATCAAGTCCAACACGTGGACTATGTCCTCCCTGTGTGCTCCAAGGAGTATAAAAAGATAAATTTATGTAATTAGCATATTTGAGACTGTTGCAGTTAAATTTACGAAATAGATGATTCGCGATTTGTTGAATTTATGAAGTTGAAAAAATAAAACTATGATGAATTATTATAAACTTGGAGCACACAACGGGAAAACAATCAAACACGCAGCTCAAAAAGGAAGAAGCTGCACTCTCGAGATCTACGGGGAATATTGGTCTATCTCCAAAAGATAGCGTCCCCTTCTTAGCGGTTGCGAGAATCTCTAAAGACAGGCTAGGAGTCGAGCCCTAGAGATCTCGCAAAGGCAACGAAGAGAGCTCTTCTGTTGGAGACAGCCCAGTAGGTACTTAGATAAACATTGTGGTGATCCCATGATCACACCAATCATTTAATATTTTCGATTTCGAAATTTTTCGAAATGTCAAAACTATTTCATGAACTTATTTCGTTTTTGAAGAATATTTCCACTAAAAAATGAAGATAATATTATGTGTTCACTAGTTTTATCATCAACTGGCAGAACGGCCCTGCAAAGATGGACGATGTCCTCTTCCAGTTGAATCCTCGACTGGAAGAGGGTCGCGTCGTCAGGAACAGCAGACTGGACGACGAAATGGGTTCTGAAGAGAGTTCCAAGGACCTTCCACTCACTCCTGGAACACCCTTTCAGCTAACGGTGGGGGTGTTCTCTCTCGCATTCGAAACGTACCTGGATGACAAAGAATGGTGCAGCTTTAAACACAGGCAAGATGTTGCTCAGGCGAAAACTCTTTTCCTGGAAGGTGATCTACAACCTACGGATATATGCATCGATTTAGCTCAGGTGATACTGAATATTCAGTAAAAATTATTGAATACGTTTTAAAATACCATCAAATTTAGTTCATTAACAGCAACTTTTCTTTGTTTTAGATGAATCCTCCAAACGTATCTCTCAATGGAAAAAATCTGAAATCCAGAGGTGTCCGCCTTCAGCTCATGTGTCCTGTAAGTTATTTACTGTAACTTGAAACATGTGTCCATGTGCTGTAAAGTGGCTTTGTGCTATTAGATACGACTGCTGATCATTTATAAGGAAATATTTTACTGTGTTAGGGGGAAATTTCTTCTCTAACCCATTGCTTGGCAATTACTTCATTATGAACTTAAATTCATTCACTTAAAAAATATACAATTTGGAGTAACAGTTGACATGTTTCAAGCGCTCAAAAACTGGTGCCCATTTTCAAGACTTGCGAGACGTGAAGGAAAAGGACTATTTCTTCTCATTCAACTCTGACAAGTCTTGAAAATGGGTGCCTGTTTTTGAGCGCTTGAAGCTTGTCGACTGTTGAACTGAAGAATTTTATTAAACTTTCCTTTAAATGTCTAGTAACGGAAGAAAACGTGATGAAATTAGCATTGAATTATTAAACAATTTTCTCTCTTACCATCACAAGATCTTTTCTTGTAAATAGTTATGAGTTAAGACGAAATTTTTTGTTAAGGTTAAAATTCAGCACACTTTTCCATTTGAAATTTTAAGTGGTGCGCATTATTTAGATACTTGAAATTTGCATCGAAATCCTATCTCTATAGTATTTATAGCTCTTTTAGAAGTGAAAATTTTGATTAGTTAAAATTTTTACGAGAATATAATTGCGAAACGGAAAGAAAATTGTTGTCTGACTTGTTTTTAGACTTTGCAAAAATGTATCCCTTTTCTATTTTTATTAAATTGTTTTCTAAACTGTTGTCTATATAATTGTATATTAAAGAAATGTACTTTTCCAGGAAGTTCCAGTCAATTCGAGAGTGACAGGAGGATTTGAAAAAGGATGCCTGCTTTTAATATCCGGAAAAATTCACACAACTCCAAAAAAGTATGTAAACATCGGTAAATGATTTTACCTTAAATAATTATTAAAATTTGAATGTTCTTTTTTTTATGCAAAAATAGACTAATAAATTTTCCTTTAGTTGAATCAAATGCATATTAAAGTTGGGTACAATGAAATCCAAAGAGGATGCAAATCAATCGAATTAAATTACTTAAGCAATTCGGAGCACTGACAAATTCGAATTGACTGATTTGAATATGTTGAATTCTGAACAATTGGTTTAAATTACTTCGAAGCACTGATTTGAATCGATACATGAATGGCAATAGTTAGAAGGACGAAATTCTTTACATTTTCCCTGCAATTCCGTATATCGTAATAACTACCATTAATATTTATTTTTAGAATCGTTATCAAAAATTAAGACAAAAAAAATAATTACATTGGGGATTCAAAATAATAATTAAGCGAAGACATGAAGCAAAAACGTGTTTGGATTCTGTCTTCTGGAGGAAAAAAAAACTGTAAATATCAAAACTTGCTTAGTTGCCAGAAGAAATATAGAAATTTAAAAAAAAAAAACAATGATAGAATAAAGGACAGCTCAAGTGTCAACAAATAACTAAACAGGTTTTGACGTTTTGTGCACTGAATCGAGATTTTCGTAGGTTTTTTTCCCTTCTTTTCTTTCTTTATAACTATAAATTTGCAATTTCTTAATGTGCATACTATTTCGTTTTCCTTTTGACAAGAATTTTACAAATATGTTAAAGGCAGTCATTAAGACAACATTCTGCACAATCTATAATATCGCCTTATTGCTTTTTTACCAAATAATAATAATAGTAATCATTATTATCATTCAAACGTGCCATCTGATTTTATTCCCGATCAGTTAATAAAAATTTTACAGTTTGAAAAAAAAATTAAGCTTCTTATAAAAATATTTCTAAACCCCAATTCGAACCAAAACTCCATTTTTTAATAAGAAACTGTAAGATTAAATCAAAAATTTTGAATTAGTTTCAAATAGACTATTCAACATGTAGCGACACGAAACTCTAAAACTCATAATTTTCCATAAATGCATTTCAACGTGTTTTTATCCAACATTTAATTTCCTAACTGAATTCTGAAATAATAGAAGTGAACTGTTTTTGGAATATTGAGCTACATTTTAAATTTGTATTCATTTGAATATCTTCTGATTCAACATAATATTAATACATCTAAAGCTGTCATCAATTTTAAAAGGCATGCCAATTCAAAGATTTTTTTCAGAATGTTAATAGACTACATTCTAAATTTCAGTAAAATCGATAAGTCTTATTCCTTTCGGGAAATGGGAAGTCGGTTTTACTGCCATTTTTTATTCATAGGTGAGGGGCGGCGGTCATGTACTTTGTAAGAATGTGCAAATAGGAAAACAAGATTTATACAATTGCTTAAGTAATTTACCTCACAAGCTTTCCCTTTCTTCAAACAGAGAATACAATCCTTCAATCTTTTCGTTATGTCTTTATGTGACCCATGTGGAGAATAATAGGAATGCATATTTCAATTGTGAATAGTGGAGAGAAAAAAACTTTTTCAAAGCTTTTTTAGTAACATTGAAAAAGTTTTAAAAATTATTACAACCTTAAAATTTTGTAAGTAGGTTCAACTGAATACATTTCAACAAAAAATATTTAAAAATATTTGTTGATTAAATTATGTGTTTGCTGTAGATAAATTAATTGTTTATATAATTCTCCATTTTTCAACATGAAGGAAATGGTATTTTTTATCTGAAAATCGCCTTTAGAGACTTTCACTATCTCGGAATATAGGTCACATTTTTGATGTTCGCTTGCTTAATACTTTTTGTTCTTAACCCTTCGCAGAATTTTTATTAAACATATTTTTCATACCTTTTTCATTTTTTTTATTAATTTGTAGCAAAATAAAAGGGAAATGTCATGTTTAATATTTTAATAATTTATGATCATGAAACACAACATTAAACAATGGTGTCTTTTTCTGAGTTGAAGGTGAAATCTTCCAAACACGGCTCACTTCCAAACAATATTTTTTTGAAATTTGCACTTATTTGCAGTTATTTAGGTCTAAGAGAAACAGTTATTCATCATTTAAATTTCTTTAGTTTACAAACTCAATTACTGATACATTTTTGAATATAAATGGAAAAAAAAATTCTAACAACTTTTTTTGGATTTTATATTTTAGTATAAATATAGTTCCGATAATTAATCTAACCAATTTTTAGTAACTGTTGGACTGTTTTTTTATAATCAAAAAAATTACAAACTATATTTTTGCTCGTAATTTGAGAGTAGGAAAAATATATGCAAAAAGTTTTGACCATAATGCATTTATTCGACAGCACAAAAACTTTTAACGAAAAGTGGTAAATAGTTAGCTATTTTCAGATTAGGAGAAATAGTAATTTATAGTCCTTCTAGCGCTGGATAATTTTTAGAACTTTTATCAATTTTTATCAGTAAAAAATATTTTCTTAAAATCGATAAAGTTATGGGACTTAAGGTTTTAAGTAAGTAGTTTAAAACTACAAGCTTGTTAGTTTTGAGAGGTTCTTAAATTTATTTTTATTACAGTTTTTTTTATCGAAGCTCTTTCGCCAAGTAAAATGAAGAAAGCCACAGTTTGACTAAAACTTGAAGCAAAGTTATAATTTTAAATTATATATATGCCATCTTACCTTAAATTAAAAATTATCTGGGCTCCCGAACGGACAAATTAACTGAATTATTTTAAAAGCCAGGCCGATATTTTTCAACCTAGAAGAAAATTGTAAAAATTATTGTCTTATTCTCCTTTTTTGCGAATTTTTATGAGTTTAGCTAATGCAGCATTGGAGTAAGTTTTTTTAAATAACTTAAGAGAGTGCTGTTTAAAGACAGGCTATGCTTGACTTAATAATCATGAATAACTGTTTCAAACTCACAGCACAGTTATAAAAATTGCATATTATTATTTGTCAATTATTAAAAAATTAAAAAAAATAGACCATGTTCGTTTTTAATTTTCTAAAAACTGCGACTTATCCTCACATTGACGTTTTGCACCATTTTCAAACTAAACATAAGAGGATGCTAGCTACAGATAGGCTAAACTTGATCCCACAATCATGAGTAACTGTTGCAAACTCGCGGCACATACATGAAAATAGCATATTATTCGTCAATTAAATATTAAAAAAATAGACCACATAAGTTTTTCATTTTCTCAAAACTGTGACTTTTCTTCACATTGACGTTTTGCACCCACCATTTTCAAACTAAACATAAGAGGGCGCTAGCTACAGATAGGCTAAACTTGATCCCACAATCATGAGTAACTGTTATAAACTCCCGGCACATGCAGGAAAATAACATATTATTCGTCAATTAAATATTAAAAAAATAGACAACATACGTTTTTCATTTTCTCAAAACTATGACTTTTCTTCACGTTGGCGTTTTGCACCATTTTCAAACAGAACAAGAGAGGGCGCTGGCTAAAGATAGGCTAAACTTGACCAAACAATTACGAGCAACTGTTGCGAACTCACAGCACATGTATGAAAATAGCATATTATTCGTCAAAAATCATTATTTCATGCAATGTCTGAGCCTTCGGAAAACAGGCGTAATATCGCCATTTTTCAATATACTGAAACCCTATAGAAAATCTGTTTCATTTCACAGACTCCAGGTGGCGGCACAGTGTGGTGATGGTACGGAGGAGGAGTGTGACATCGCCCTTCGTTATTCCGTTGTATGGGAAGTAGATGGAAGTCCAAAGATCACAATGAACTCCAAGGAAGACGATGCTTGGGGACAGTTGGTTAAATCAGAAGAGGTCTTGGAATCATTGCGACCTGGCAGCCATTTTGACCTGCTCATCTACTACTCAGAGGACGGTTTTCGATGCTTCCTTGATGGTCAAGAACATGCCCATCTTCCATACAGACTGGAAGATCTTCGTCCAGATCACGTGACTGTTTGTGGGGACGTTCAGATACAGAGGCTGTTGTTACTTTGATATGATTGGACAATCATCCTCAGTTGACGACTCTACTCGGCTGTAAGAAATATCGACCACATCGTTTTATTTTTTAAAAAAATTTGAAAACAATTCGATGAAGTTTAATAATACAATTGACTCCTTCATGATTACTTTGAAGAAATCAATTAATGTAATTAAGTAATTCGAAAGTGTCTAGAAGAAATAATTTGAATTACCTCAAAGAAATAGCTGTTGAAAGGAGTTGATTAACTGGAAAAAAATCCGCGTTCGATGGAGTCAATTAGTTAAAACAATAAATGTTGTAATAATCCGAATAATTGAAAGAAGTAATTGATCAGAACCAATAAATTTATTGTTTGATGGATATAATTAATTTGAATTATTAAGTGGATATAGTAAATTAATTGGAAGGAGTTTTTCAATATATTTGATACACCTGTGACTGTTGAAATTAAAAGGCAACTGTGAATAGTTTTGATATTCGAAATGGAATAATCCTATCTCTTACAGCCTCGTAAATTCGTGTCTCGGAAAGAGTGTATAAAAACAAATTGTTAATAACAAATGGTGTGCTGAAATTATTATTTTATGCTTGTTAGTGCATTGAAAAATTTTATTAGTGTTGATCTCTACATGTACAGAGAGCTTGTATTATAATGCAAAATGTAAAATTAAAGAGTTTTTACTGTACTGTTATTTTATTCAAATTATATGTATAATGAAACAATATTATAATCAATATTGAAGTAACATTAATTATTGAAATATGTCACATACCTCTGCCCAATGCCAGAGGTATAAGGCGAAAACAAAAAATACATAAATTCCACAATTATAAGTGAGGAATTTTTTCGTTGAGAAATTAAGTTAAATACTTTGTAATTCCCCACGTAAGCAAAGTTAATACGGATTTATTATTGGCTTGAGTTCTTACCATTTCGTTTTTTAACCTCCTCTTTATGCATACAAGTCAGTTAGAGCCCAAAAAAGCAGAATTCAAATTATTAAATAAAAAAATAGTAATCAATATTCAACTTCACAGGAATGGTTCATAAAATTCTTTACATTGTTTGTGTTAAACAATGAATAGCAACATTACTGTGCATTTAATTTGTGTGTCAAATTCGTTACTTTCCGGGTAACAAATTGAACATGCCAATAACGATATATTAAGTAAAATATACAGAATATAATGTTACAAAATTTATCATGGTACCTTAAAACATGGAATAAAAACTATTTATTAGGTTACTTTTCGAATTTGTATTTTTTACTAAATGCTTGGTGATAAGAACTATAATTTTGAATACCAGACTTTCCGGTAAATCATTACTATATGAACGGAAAAATTGCCAAATGAATGGTTTAAATACCGTATAGTTTTATTTCATAAAGCAAGACTATTTAAAATAAAAAAATAATAAATTAAAAAACCAGAAATGTTATTATCAAATAGTACGGTAATTTTAACTGATTTCTTTTTTCAGTGTTAACGCAGCAAAGCCCAACTATAGTTATGAGTGGTATACAGGGTGATTCATAATTTCCTCCGGGGTTTCAAAGCGTTATAGTAAAAAAACGGAAACGAATATGGCAAAAAAGAACATAGGAAATTTTTCCGAAAGTATTCAAGTTTTAATTTAAGCAGTGGCCGGTAGATGGCAGAAACATGTACCACTGAAGCCAGTTGTGGTAAAGAAAAAGGGCGTTTACAGGCGGAGGGAATTATGAATAACCCTGTATATATTTTTACAAAAAGATTCTTCGAGCCGAAAAAGTAATTTTGTTTTTCAATCGTGGTATATTTCACTTTTTATGTAAAACATGGCAAAAAAAATTAACACACGATCGATTTAAATATTGAATGTAGTCTTTCATGCTTATTTTCCGCAGGCATTGAAATAAATAAGCCAGGCAAGTTTAAATTAATTTTAAAATGCTGGATTTATTATGAATAAAATCATTTTTCTATTCATTACTTCACAATTGCAAAGTTAATCCTGTTTAACTTTCGCATAATTTTCACTCAACTTTTTGAAAAGTTTTTTTCAGGATGCATTTCAGATTTTGTTTAAAATTTTGTTTTAAAAATATGCTAATGAGTTCTTCATCCTCCAAAGAAGAGCAAACAACAGTGAATGGACAGAATTTAATTGCTATTAACATAACAATGGTGAAGAATTAATGCGGCAGGGAACGGTTTCAAAGCTGCCTGCATATTTTTATACTCTCTTATACAGCACAGTCATGTTTTAAATTTATTTTTAAGAAGACAAAGATGTTTGAAACTAATCTATGAAGAAGAAGAATACCAAATATTTCTTAAAATATATGTGCATATTCTTTGAAATTCCTCCAATTTCCTTTAAAGGGAAAAACACTGAATAATTCCAAAAAAGAGATGACTTATTAATTTTGATGGTACATAATGCGATAGCGAAAATTTTTATAGATTATGAGTTGAATATCATATAAATAAGAAAAATGAGCATTTATTTTTTGCATTGAGAAGAATTTATAATTAATGATCGATTTGGCTGAAGGTTTCGCTACTCTTGTAGTTTCCAATTGTCATAGAATTATAGTTTAATTGTTGATTAGTAGATACGAGACGCTCATTATAATTTTAAAAAACGCATTAAAATATTATTTTAAGATAAAAAATATATTCGTATATAATTTTTTTGATCGATTTTACCCTGTAATTTAATATACATTTTATTATATACTTTATTAAAAATCATTCGCACTATCCCGTTTAAAGCAATCAACTTAAATACTTATGTCATAGAATTGTTTAATTGCGATTATAGTTTAATTGTTTATTAGTAAATACGAAACGCTCATTATATTTAACAAAACGCATTAAAATATTATTTTAAGATAAGAAATATATTCGTATATAATTTTTTCGGTCGATTTTACCCTATAATTTAATATGCATTTTATTATATATTTTATTAAAAATCATTCGTACTATCCCGTTTAAAGCAATCAACCTGAATACTTAAGTCATAGAACTGTTTAATTGCGATTATAGCTTAATTGTTGATTAGTAGATACGAAACGCTCATTATATTTTTCAAAAACGCATTAAAATATTATTTTAAGATAAATATATTCGTATATTATTTTTCGATCGATTTTGCCCTATAATTTAATATACATTTTTTTATATACTTTATTAAAAATCATTCATTCATACTATCCCGTTTAGAGCAATCAACCCAAATACTAAAACGACAATAAAATTTCATCAAAAACAGTTTTTATAAAAAAAAATGATTTTTCCAGTTATAAATTTAGTTATAAAAGAAAAAATACTCATAAATGAGGTTTAAAATTTTTGTTTACAAACAAAATGCAAAATCAATATTAAACATGTAAGACAATTTAAATTACATATAAGACAATTTAATGAATTTACTTTTATCTTGATAAAATAATTCATCAAATACATTCAAGAAATATATTAATGTGGTCTACATTCAATTGCGATATGACCTACATTCATATTCAACACAAATTTCAAAAAAGAATCAGCTTGAATTTTTATCCAGCAATACGAAGTGTTACTTAACCATGGACTTTTTTGAAAACATTTCCCTGAACACTGGTGTGTGTCAGGGAACACCATCCTCCGCAGGAAAAACTGTTGCCATGAATGGGAGAACCTGGTCTGCAACTATGTTTAAGTAGCTTACAGACGTCATGGATTGCTCTATGAGGATTATGGGTCCTGATGTGCCCCATGAAAACATTGTTCCTGGGCGAGAAATAATGAAAACCTGGGAGAGCCCATTGTTATAGATGGAGGGCGGTCATAATGTAATGGCTCTTCGGTGTATATTTCGGACATTTACCAAAGCGACTATGTGATTGACAGCAATCGCTGGTGGAAGTCAGCAACCACCAATAGCGGTCATTCACAGTAACATTTTTAAGTCAAACTTTTGTGATGATTAGATTGTATTTACAGAAAGAAAGTGTTTAAGTGATAAATAAGCTGAGAAACTGTGGAAGAAGAATATTTTTAAAATTATATATTTTAATTTATCGATTTTTACTTAAGTTGTATCCGTATATAAATAATTACAATTCCAAAGATTAGCTTCCCGATGTAAAAGTGAGAAATAATCAGAATTAATCATGCAAACACATCATTCAGATTTCAAAATATTCAAACTACTAGAAACGAATACTTAGAGCACAGGCTTAATATGCGTTAATTATTCTTTTTTTTTAATATATCATTCATATTAAAAAAAATACATCATTTCGTTATATTTGTTACATTTTTGAACAAATTAAACATGAGTGTATTTTTTTGTTTAAGGCATCTCTGTCTTAAATCGCGAATAATGGCAGAAAAACAGACAAATAAGGTCTCGGGAGGCATGCACACATCACCCCCCCTTAACTCCTTTAATATTAACCTATAATTTTATACTCGGTCAGAAATTAAGGCTCAATGTATCGAAGAATCGAAAAGAAGAAAATTTTTATAGGTTTATTAGGGGACCAACAAAGGACCAAAATACGTTTTGTTTACTTACCGGAAAAAGGTACTTAAAGCTACATATTCGCGAGAGCTTCGTGTGGAGCGTACCGTGGTTGGTAGAGTGCTGCGGACAAGTTAGCCCTGGAGAACCTGGGTTTAAAACCCAGCGGCGGTATGAAGTTTTTAATTTTATTCATTTTTTATTATATTCTATATTATTTTTTTAAAGTGTTTTAACGTGAATAACGTTTTCTTATTATAAAAATTATTATTTTTCTTTTGAAAAACAGCAAATAATAGCATAAGAGCGGATAAATAACGAATAATTTTTTTATATATTTATTTATTTTTTATTATTATTTTAACATTAACTCTTTTTATGTTTTAAAGAAAATAAAGTGTTTTTTATATAAAAATAAGGATATCTCGGTCTTAAAGCGCGAATAATGTCAGAAAAACAGACAAATATGGTCTCTGGAGGCATGTACTTGTCACCCCTTTAACTCTCTTTAATATTAACCTATAATTTTCAAACTCGGGCAGAAATTAATGTTCAATGTACCGAAGAATCGTACTGAGGGAAATTTTTATAGGTTTATTAGGGGACCAACAAAGGACCAAAGTACGTTTTGTTTACTTATCGGAAAAGGATACATAAAGCTAAACATTCGCGAGAGCTTCGCGTGAAGTGTGACGTGGTTGGTAAAATTCAGCGGAAAAGTTAGCCCGGAGATCCTGGGTTCGAAACCCAGCGGAGATTAAAGGTTTTTAATTTTTTTCACTGCTTATTTCATTTCATATTATTTTTTTAATGTGTTTTAGCGAGAATAACGTTTTCTTATTATAAAAATTATAATTTTTCTTTTGAAAAACAGCAAATAACAGCAAAAAAACGGATAAATAACGGATAATTTTTTTATATATTTATTTATTTTTTATTATTATTTTAACATTAACTCTTTGTATGTTTTACCGAAAATAAAGTGTTTTTTATATAAAAATAAGGATATCTCGGTCTTAAAGCGCGAATAATGTCAGAAAAACAGACAAATATGGTCTCTGGAGGCATGTACTTGTCACCCCCCTTAACTCCGTTTAATATTAACCTATAATTTCCAAACTCGGTCAGAAATTAATGTTCAATGTACCGAAGAATCGTACTACGGGAAATTTTTATAGGTTTATTAGGGGACCAACAAAGGACCAAAATACGTTTTGTTTACATATCGGAAAAGGGTACATAAAGCTAAATATTCGCGAGAGCTTCGTGTGAAGTGTGGCGTGGTTGGTAAAATGCGGCGGACAAGTTACCCCGGAAAACCTGGGTTCGAAACCCAGCGGAGATTAGAGGTTTTTAATTTTTTTCACTGCTTATTTCATTTCATATTATTTTTTTAATGTGTTTCAACGAGAATAACGTTTTCTTATTAAAAAAATTATTATTTTTCTTTTGAAAAACAGCAAATAATAGCATAAAAGCGGATAATTTTTTTATATATTTATTTATTTTTTATTATTATTTTAACATTAACTCTTTGTTTGTTTTACCGAAAATAAAGTGTTTTTATATAAAAATAAGGATATCTCGGTCTTAAAGCGCGAATAATGTCAGAAAAACAGGCAAATATGGTCTCTGGAGGCATGTACTTGTCACTCCTATTAACTCCCTTTAATATTAACCTATAATTTTCAAACTCGGTCAGAAATTAATGTTCAATGTACCGAAGAATCGTACTAAGGGAAATGTTTATAGGTTTATTAGGGGACCAACAAAGGACCAAAATACGTTTTGTTTACTTTTCGGAAAAGGGTACATAAAGCTAAATATTCGCGAGAGCTTCGTGTGAAGTGTGGCGTGGTTGGTAAATGCTGCGGACAAGTTAGCCCGGAGAACCTGGGATCGAAACCCGGCGGAGAATAGAGTTTTTAATTTTTTTCACTGCTTATTTCATTTCATTTCATATTATTTTTTTAATGTGTTTTAACGAGAATAACGATTTCTTATTATAAAAATTATTATTTTTCTTTTGAAAAACAGCAAATAATAGCATAAAAGCGGATAATTTTTTTATATATTTATTTATTTTTTATTATTATTTTAACATTAACTCTTTGTATGTTTTACCGAAAATAAAGTGTTTTTATATAAAAATAAGGATATCTCGGTCTTAAAGCGCGAATAATGTCAGAAAAACAGGCAAATATGGTCTCTGGAGGCATGTACTTGTCACTCCTATTAACTCCCTTTAATATTAACCTATAATTTTAAAAATTGGTCAGAAATTAATGTTCAATGTACCGAAGAATCGTACTA